GATTACTTATAATACCTAATATAATGTAAATGTTATATAATAGTTATGCTGTATTGTTAAGGGACTAATGACAAGAAAAAGTCTGTACATGTTCAGTACAGACACAACCATCATAGGCCTAAATACATTTTCGAGTCATGGTTAGTGAATTCATGGATGTGGAACTTGACAATCAGAAGGTCCAACTATATATAAGGCATGTGCATGCATATGTGTATATTTTAGGGTTGGCTGAATATACCAAACGTATTTTAGAAGGTTTAAAAAGATACACATCAAATTGTTTTGTTCTGTTTTGTTGAGACAGGGTCTCACTCTGTCACCCAACCTGGAGTGCAGTGGCAAGATCACAGCTCACTGCAGCCTCAACCTCCTTGGCTCAAGTGACCTCCCTAACCACTCAAGTGACCTCCCTAGCCTCCCAAGTAGCTGGAACTACAGGCACGCACCAGCACACACAGCTAATTTTTTTATTTTCAGTAGAGATGAGGTTTCACCATGTTTCCCAGGCTGTACCTGAACTCCTGCGCTCAAGCAATCCCCCCACCTTTGTCTCTCAAAGTGCTGGGATCACAGGCGTGAGCCACCGTACCTGGCCCACATCAAATTGTTAATGGTAATTATCTGTCAGGGATTGTTGAAGGGGCTTTTGACATTTTATTTTACATACTTTCATGTTAGTTAAATTTTTTATACTGAGATTACTTAGGTATTGGGTAACTTTTTAAAAACCCATGTAAAATTAAATAAGACCAAAGTGGGCATGCTTCTACTTTCTCAGCATACTAAAATATAATTTGCCAGCAGTGATATATGTTTGAACATAAAATTGGGTCAAATAAGAATAAAAAACTTATGGAAAAAAACTCAGTGCCCTGATTTCAGCCTGTCACTTTTAGGCTGAAAAACATTCAGTGAGAATTTCTGAAAAGCAGGCAGGAGGCACCTGCTCAGTTCCATCTATCTATGAAGGTAATGACATCTCCAAAAGCACCTGTTTTTAAATTCACAGAGTGGGGTTGTTGTCTGTCTCCAGCGGCAGCCTTTGCCAAAGAACCAAGAAGCACAAGAAAGAACTACAGACTCCTGGGTTCACTGCACTTCACTTGGGCCCTTGACCTGCTTCAGTGATATCCACAGCAGGCAGGACTACGATCCCTATCAAAAGCCTCCTCAGTCCCCTCTGCTTTAGCTGAGACATTTGCTAGTCTCATCTTCCTTCTCCCATGCTCTCTAAAGAAAAAGAAAAGCACACACCATAAAACATCAAAATAACACAACAAAACAGGGAAAATGTAACTGTTTTAAGCATAACTGATTTAAAACTTTGTTAAAAATAAGAATCTATACCAAAATACAACATTTATGTCAGACATTACTCCATAAGTAATCAAAGGACAGTGACAGTCACTTGATACAGAAGGAAAGAAAGAAAACAAATCATAATATGGGAAAATGAAAAATTTTAAGAAGTTTTAAATTTAAGGTTGTCACAGTCATATCTAAAAAGGAGACAGATCATAAAATAGGATAAAATATATTTTTATCTACTTATTTATTTATACAGAGTCTGGCTCTGTCGCCCAGGCTGGAGTGTAGTGGTACGATCTTAGCTCATTGCAATCTCTGCCTCCCGGGTTCAAGCAGTTCTCCTGCCTCAGCCTCCCGAGTAGCTCGGATTACAGGCACCTGCCATCATGTTCAGCTAATTTTTGTATTTTCAGTAGAAACAGGGTTTCACTATGTTGGCCACGCTGGTCTCGAACTCCTGACTTCATGATCTGCCCGCCTCAGCCTCCCAAAGTGCTGGGATTATAAGCGTGAGCCATGACATACTTTGCAAACACAACAAATCCAATTGACAGTATCCAGCATTAACTAGGATATGGGGAATGGGAATGCCATGCACTCCTGGATGCAGTAGAAGTATTGGAACCTTATTGGGGATCAGCTTACCCCAGTTTAAAAGGCATGGTTCAATCTAAGAATTCTATTATTTGTAAATATACCAAGAAATATGTGAAAGAAAAGAAAATCTAAATGCTCAACAATTTATGGATAACACCACCACTATGGAAAAATACATAGCTATTGAAAATGACAAGTAAACTATAGGTAACAATGTAAAGTAAGAAAAGTAAAACTCAAAATACTATGGAAATACTGTTTAGAGACCTATAAAACACACATACATAAATTAATAAAATTATTTATAGCTATCAAAATAATGATGTAGGCTGGGGGCAGTGGCTCACATCTGTAATCCCAGCACTTTGAGAGGCCGAGGCAGGCAGATTACCTGAGGTCAGGAGTTCGACACCAGCCTGGCCAACATGGTGAAACCCCGACTCTACAAAAAATACACAAAAATTAGCTGGACGTGTTGGCAGGTGCCCATAATTCCAGCTATTCAGGAGACTGAGGCAGGAGAATCACTTGAACCCAGGAGGCGGATGGAACAGTGAGCTGAGGTTGCATCACTGCACTCTAGCCTGGGCAACAGAGCTGGACTCTGTCTCAAAAATAAAAAACTAAATTTTTTTTAAAACGTAGATTTATGCTTTTAGAAATGACAACATAGGCAAGGCATGGTGGATCACACCTTTAATGCCAGCATTTTGGGTGGCCAATGTGGGAGGATTGCTTGCATCCAGGAGTTTGAGACCAGCCTAGGCAACACAGTGAAATCCCAGCTCTACAAAAAATATAACTAATAATAAAAATTTAGCTGGGCATGGTGCATGTCTGTAGTTTCAGCTATTGAGAGGCTGAGGCAGGAGAATTGCTCAAGCCCAGGAGGTCATACCACTGCATTCAGTCTGAGTGACAGAGTGAGATCTGGTCTCAAAAGATACATATAAAAAATAAAATTAAATTTAAAAAAATTAAACAACAATATAACAGTGACATACAATGGGGAAAGCTAATAACAGAAAAAAAAGTACGTGATGCTATGCAAAAATTCCATATCTATGTATTCTTCTATCTACAGAGAAATATCAAGAAATATGTTCACCAAAATATAAATAAAGGTTCTCTCAGGATTACATAATTTTTACAAGTAAAAATTATGAAGCTATTTTCATTTTCAGAAAGAAAAAAAAGCAGAAATGTGTAATAACAAAGATCAGAAGAGAATTTTCTGAGTTTTCAGTGTTCTCTCTCTCACAGACACACACACAAGCGTGCACGCACACGCACTTCTATGCCAACAACCCTAAAATAACTAGATAGCTATACTGAAAGACTATTTATGAGAATTGGTGCCACTGAGTGGCAGGTCCTAACCTCTCTCACCAGCTCAGGTCTTATGTCACTCAAGACATACTGCAAAGCAAAAGTACCACAGAAGAGCTTCCTCCTAGAATCTCATGATTCTAGCACAGGGGTCACAGACTCTTTCTGTAAAGGGTCAGACAGCTAAATGTTTTACGCTTTGTAGGCCATCTGTTCAAAACTACTCACCTCTGTCATTGCTCTGCAAAAGTGGCTATAAATACTACTTAAACGAATGAGTATGGCTATGTTCCAAAAAGACCTGTATTTAGGAATAATGAAATTTGAATTTCATATAATTTTCACATCACTAAATATTCATTTCAAAAATTCTTTCCAACCATTTAAAAATGTAAAAACCAAAAATAGTTTGGCAGTTCCTCACAAAGTTAAACAGTTATCATATACTCCATTCGCTAGGTATATACACAGAAGAACTAAAAGCAAATATACAACAATTTGTACACAAGTATTCAAAACAACATTATTTATAAACATCCAAAAAGTAGAAATGTCTTAGTCTATTTTCTGTTGCTTGTAACAGAATACCTGAAACTGGGTAATTTATTTTTAAAAGGCTATTTATTTATTGCAGTTATGGAGGCTGAGAAGTCCAAGGTTGAGGGGCTGTGTCTGGTGAGGGCCTTCTTGCTGGTGGGGACTCTGCTGAGTAGGCAGGTGACACAGGGCATCACATAGTGAGGGTGCTGAGCATGGTAGCTCAGGTCTCTCTTCCTACTCTTATAAAGCCAACAGTCTGACTCCCATGATAACCCATCAATACATTAATCCATGAATAGATCAACCTATTCATAACGGCAGAGCCCTCATTACCCAATCCATATAGAAGAATATTATTCAGGCACAAAAAGGAATTAAAATCTGACACATGCTACAACATGGCTGAACCATGAAAACATTATGCTAAGTGAAAGAAACCAGACATAAAAGGTCACATATTGTAGGCTTCTATTTATATGAAATGTCTAGAATGAGAAAATCAACAGAGACACAATTAGTGGTGGCCAGGGCCTGGAGGAGGAAGGAATGGGAAATGATTGCTAATAAACACAGAATTTCTTTTTGGGGTAATAAAAATGTTCTGGAATTAGTGGTGATGGCAGTCCAATCTTATGAACATACTAAAACCAACTGAATTGTACATTTGAAAATGATGAATTGTATATGATTTAAATTGCAATAAAAAATGTGGAAACCATTTCTAGCTCACGGGCCATACAACAATGGCCTACAGGCTGGATTTGGCTAGGGACTATAGTTTACCAACCTTGTTCCAGCAACTAACAAAGAAAATGTCTTAGGGTTTCTCTCTCTCTCTCTCTCTCTCTCTCACACACACACACACACACACACACACACACACCCCACAAATTAGAACACAGCCAAAGGTCAAAACTTGAAATCAGCTAAGCCAGGACTGAAAAATTATTTAATAATTAAATAAAGTTATTAAAAAATGGAAAGACAAGGAGTCTGTTTAAGTTATGCTCCCTGCCACCAAATACCATAAAGTTATTATTCTGAAAATAGACAAAATTTAATAGATTGGCAGAAAAAAGGCATGTGTTATATAAACTTATAGATATATAAAGTTATGTGTTATTTTAAAACACAACTCTTAAGTACAGTACCCATTTTTTCAGGCCAAATTTATTTTAAAATTATATTAAGCTAATTTAGAAATGTATTTACTGGCACATTACCTGGAGGAACTAGCTGTATTAATTCAAACCTGGTTAGGAAGCCTAAAAAGGAAAAAATGAGATTTTAATACTTCCAAAAATTGCCACAGTCTTTCAATAATTATTAAGTTTTAAACTGTTATAAAATCCATTTAATAGTAATAATAATAAAAATAATAATTAAAAATAACTCCAAACCAACATCAAATCAGGTATTTCTAGAATTAATCAATCAAGAGAGTGTAATGAGAGTAACAGAATTATAAAAATAGCATTTCACTAGCCATAAAAAAGAACAAGGGTTCATGTCTTTTGAAGGATCTGGAGGTCATTATCAAACTAACACAGAAACAGAAAACCAAATGCAGCATGTTCTCACTTAAAAATGGGAGTTAAATGATGAGAACTCATGGACACACAGAGGGGACCAATACACACTGGGGCCTACTTGAGGGTGGAGGGTGGGAGAAGAAAGAGGATCAGAAAAAATAACTATTGGATACTAGACTTAATACCTGGGTGACAATCTCTACAACAAATCCCCATGACACGGGTTCACCTATATAACAAACCTGCACATGTACCCCTAAACCTAAAAGTTAAAAAAAAAAATAGCACTTCACCTCTTGAAAAGTATTAAAAAAAAAAAGATGCAATATTTGTCTCCTAAAAGTGCATACAATAAATAAGTAAGTGTATATATACATAGAGCTCTAAAATAACAATGCAATTTTCATCTTAAATATTCAAAATCCACTTGTTATCCATTAATGTACAAAAGTTTATCTTGCTTAAAATAGTGTGCAATATGACTATACAAATTAAACATAAAATATAACTTTGTAAGGCCAGGCATGGCGGCTCGCGCCTATAATCCCAGCACTTTGGGAGGCCAAGGCGGGTGGATCACCTGAGGTCAGGAGTTCGAGACCAGCCTGGCCAACATGGTGAACGTATTTTAGTCTCTACTAAACATGTATTTTAGTCTCTACTAAAAATACAAAAACTAGCCGGGGATGATGGCAGATGCCTGTAATCCCAGCTACTCAGGAGGCTGAGGCAGGAAAATTGTTTGAACCCGGGAGGTGGAGGTTGCAATGAGCCAAGATTGTGCCACTGCACTTCAGCCTCGGTAATGGAGTGAGACTCCATCTTAAAAAGAAAAAAAAAAAAAAATATATATATATATATATATAAACTTTTTAAATTTTCTTGAGTTCAAAATATATTTAGAAATAGCGAGCCTATGTACAATGACAAGAATAAAATTAAAATAAGGACAAGAATAAAGTTCAGATCTTTAAGATAACTTAAATGATATATTAGGTTGGTGCAATTATAACAATTAAAAAAATCAATGAAGATAATTCTCACAAAATAACATAACAAGTGAAAACATTTTAGTTATTTGTTTTTGTTTTGTTTGAATTAGGGTCTCGCTCTGTCACCCAGGGTGGAGTGCAGTGGTGCGATCTTGGGTCACTGCAACCTCTACCTTGCAGGTTCATGCGATTCTCCTGCCTCAGCCTCCCAAGTAGCTGGGACTACCGGCACGTACCACAATGCCCAGCTACTTTTTGTATTTTTAGTAGAGATGGAGTTTCACCATGTTGGCCAGGCTGGTCTCAAACTCTTAACCTCAGGTGATTTGCCCACCTCAGCCTCCCAAAGTGTTGGGATTACAGATGTAAGCCACTGTGCCCAGACATGAAAACATTTTAAATAGACAACAAAAGTAAAATTCTAACTTTGTAGATTTATGAAAAAATTTTGAATTTATATGACAAAACTTTAAATGCCAAGAAACTTAAAAGCCAAGACAGCCTGACACTTTAGGTTTTCAAAATGAGAGGAGGGAATATATATTTGCCAACCATCACCCTGATGGTAATTTAAGCACTTAGTTTGATTCAGCCTCTAAATTCTTTCTTTTTAATTTTTAATTTCCACAGGTTATTGGGGAACAAGTGGTATTTGATTATAAGTTATTTAGTGGTGATTTGTGAGATTTTGGTGCACTCATTACCTAAGCAGTATACACTGCACCCTATTTGTAGTCTTTTATCCCTCACTCCCTTCCCAATCTTTTCCCGAGTCCCCAAAGTCCATTGTGTCATTCTTTTGCCTTTGCATCCTCATAGCTTAGCTCCCACTTATAAGTGAGAACATACGATGTTTGATTTTCCATTCCTGAATTACTTCACTTAGAATAATAGTCTCTAATTTCATCCAGGTCATTGCTAATGCCATTAATTCATTCCTTTTAATGGTTGACTAGTATTCCATCATACATATATATAATGGAATATATATATATATGTATATATATATGTACACACACACACACCACAGTTTCTATATCCACTCGTTGATTGATGGGCATTTGGATTTGTCCCACATTTTTGCAATTGCAAATTGTGCTGCTATAAACATGCGTGTGCAAGTATTTTTTTCATAAAATGACCTCTTTTCCTCTGGGTAGACAGATACTCCAGTAGTGGGATTGCTGGATCAAATGGTAGTTCTACTTCTAGTTCTTTAAGGCGTCTCTACACTGTTTTCCATAGTGGTTATACTAGTTTACATTCCCATCAGCAGTGTAGAAGTGTTACCTGTTCACCACATCTATGCCAACATCTACTATTTTTGATTTTTTGATTATGGTCAGGCTCTAAATTCTATGCAGTCAATTAATTCTCATCGTGACTCTATGAGTCCAATGCAATGGCTATCCTCATTTTTATGAATGAAGAAACTAAACCTCAAAGAGGAAACTATAGTAATGTGGGCAAGGTCAGACTGGCTAACAGTAACAGGGTTATATTGGAACCCAAGTAGTGTGTTCTCAGGGCCTGTCCTCTTATCCGCAAGATACTTCATTGAAAAATCCTATTCTTCCATAGAGCAAGTTAATTAGGATGCTTGATAAAATAACTACACCTTTTAATTGCCTTCTGGAATGGCATCACGTAATTCACACTTGCTTTAAATATCAAGGACAAAAGGAAATCATTAATGAGTGACCTAGAGAACTGTTCTTATGTTCTTTTATGCTTCATTCTACCTCCCAGGGTTAATACTGGGAAATGAAATGAAAATATCCCAATTCTTGCAGGATCATTTGAAATGCTGGATTTTTTTCTGAATTTAAAGAGGCTTGAGAGAATCAGTGCTCTTACAGATGTGACCCATCTCAGAGAGATGTTTCACCTTCCTGTTTTTTAAGATTCAGGTAGAAATATAAATGCAGTAAATCAACTTGGGTATTGAATCTACTTTTTAAAAGGCCAAATGCCAAAGGCATCATTTTTTATACCCAATTACCTTGATGGCTTCCTGAGACACATACTTGCTCAGTGACTACCCTAATCTATGCTACCTCTGTAGGTACTGACTCACTCTTTGCCTAATTTCAAACTCTTTAATCTACCTGGTATGTCAGCCTGAGACCTAGCCTGCTCCCATTCTGACTTCTACCCAGGATGACATCCTGTCTCTACAAAACAAAAACAAAAACAAAACTAGCTAGGCATGGTGCTGTGTGCCTGTAGTCCCAACTGCTTCAGCGGCTGAGGTGGGAGGATCGCTTGAGCCCAGAAAGTTGAGGCTGCAGTAAGGTATGATCGTGCCACTGCACTCCAGGCTAGGTGACAGAGCGAGACCCTGTCTCAAAATAAACAAAAAAATAAAGACAAATGATCCCATTAAAAAGTAGGCAAAGATCTGAATAGACATTTCCCCCAAAGAAAATACACAAATGGCCAATTATCTCACGAAAAAATGTTCAACATCATTAGCCATCAGGGAAATGCAAATCAAAACAATGATGAGATACCACTTCACACCCACAAAGATGACTACCAATCAAAATGACAGATAATAACAAGTGTTGGCCAGGATGTGGGAAAATGGAACCCTCATACATTGCTGGTGGGATGTAAAATGATTCAGCTGCTTTGGTAAATAATGTGAAACTTCCTTAAAAGGTTAAACATACAGTTACCATATTGAAACGGGAAAAGCTCCCTTTTCCCCTTCTCAGGACGTGCGATGCGGGTGTGGCTTGCTTCTTCGGTGCTCCGCTGCTCAAACCTCTAGAGGAGCAGACAGAGGGGGACAGGCTGTGGGGTTCCAATCCCATGGCAGTATCTAGGGGTGAATGTTTACAGCTCCTGAAGCCCCAGTGGGTGTGTGTTACAGGGTGCTCTTTTAGTTTACCGTCTATAGGCAGCTTGTGTTAGTCAGCTCAGTTAGACCCTCTACCCTGTTGCAAGGACATAGGGGCTTTCTGTATCCCCGGGGTTCTTGCCTCGGTGTACTGGAAGAATCGGATCACACATGGGCTTGGAGAATGAGTGTGAGGTTTTATTGAGTGGAAGTAGCTTTCAGCAGATGGGGGAGCCAGAAGGGAGATGGTTTTCCCCTGGAGTTGGGCCGCTTGGCGGCCCCAGCTCTCCTCCAACCGCCCCAGCCAAACTCCGTGTTGTTCTGCTAGTGCCAATGTGCTCCTCTCGATGTCCAGTCGCTTCTGTCTCTGCCTTGCTAGGGTCTCGGGTTTTTATAGGCACAGGATGGGGACGTGGTGGGCCAGGATGGTCTTGGGAAATGCAATATTTGGGCGGGAAAGCAGGAGTGCCTGTCCTCATCTAGGTCCGTGGGGATGGAGCCCTAGCCAGGGATCACACCCTTCCTCTACCCAGCACTTCCTCCTTCCATATTATTTAAAGGTACCACTATCTCTCTTCCCAGCACTCCTGTATCAATGTGACCCAGCAATTTCACTCCTAGGTATACCCAAGAGGCATTAAAACATACGTTCACACAAAAACTTACACACAAATATTCACAGCATCATTATTCATCATAGCCTAAAGGTGGAAACAATACAAATGTCCATCAATGATGACTAGAAAAACAAAATGTGATATATTCATCCAATAGAATACTATTTGGCCAAACAAAAACTTAAGTTCTGGCACATGCTATAATATGGATGAACCTTGAAAACATTATACTAAGAAGTCAATCACAAAGAAGCACATGTTGCATAACCTCATTCATATGAAATATCCGGAATAAGCAAATCTATAGAGATGGAAAGATTAGTGGTTACTGATAGCTAGGAGGGTTGCTGGGGAATAGGGAGTGATTGCTAATGGGCATAGAGCTGCTTTTTGTAGTGATAAAAATATTCTAACAATGAAATACACAAAAACAATTTTTAGAAATAAACAACCAAACAGAATCATACCATCCCCCATCAAAACCCATCTATATCTAGCTTTTTTTTTTTTTTTTTTTTAGATGGAGTCTTCCTCTGCCACCCAGGCTGAAGTGCAATGGCACGATCTCGGCTCACACAAACTCCACCTCCTGGGTTCAAGTGACTCTCCTACCTCAGCCTCCTAGGTAGCTGGGACTACAGGCATGTGCCACCACATCCGGCTAATTTTGTTGTATTTTTGGTAGAGATGGGGTTTCACCATGCCGGCCAGGCTGGTCTCAAACTCCTGACCTCAAATGATCCACCCACCTCGGCCTCCCAAAGTGCTGGGATTACAGACGTGAGCCACCGTGCCCAGCCAAGCCCATTTATATTTAGGAAGGGTATGTAGCAGAATCAAAAATGTGATTCAAATTTTACATAGGCTGTCTTGAAATAAATATTTACCAAACATGAACATATCACAGTCTAGAAAAGAGCAGACTTTTAAATCTGTGAATTACACACAACAGTCTTTTGGTTTTTTGTTTTGTTTTTCAGAGTACCTACTTTCCAAAAGGTCTACTACAGCTTCAGGATCCACTGCACTTTCAAATACCTGCAGAGAAAAATGGAGAAAATAAATTTTCAAAGTTGTATTAATAAGTGCATATAGAAACTGTAAATGCCAGGTGCAGTAGCTCACACCTGTAATCCTAGCACTTTGGGAGGCCAAGGTGGGTGTATTGCTTTAGCTCAGGAGTTTGAGACCAGCAACATGGTGAAATCCTCTCTCTACAAAAAATACAAAAGATAGCTTGGCTTGGTGGCTTTTGCCTGTATTCCCAGCCACTTGCGGGGCTGAGGCTGGAGGATCATTTGAGCCCAGGAGATAGAGGTTGCAGTGAGCTAAGATGGCATCACCACATTCCAGCATGGGAGAAACAGTGAGACCCTGAGAAAGAAAAGAAAAGAGAAGAGAAGAGAAGAGAAGAGAAGAGAAGAGAAGAGAAGAGAAGAAAAAGAGAGAGAGAGAGAGAGAGAGACAGACAGAAAGAAAGAAAGAAAGAAAGAAAGAAAGAAAGAAAGAAAGAAAGAAAGAAAGAAAGAAAGAAAGAAAAAGAGAGAGAGAGAAGGAAGGAAGGAAGGAAGGAAGGAAGGAAGGAAGGAAGGAAGGAAGGAAGGAAGGAAGGAAAGAAAGAGAGAGGAAGGGTAAATTAAATTCTTCCAAGTAATTAACATATGTGAAATCCAGTCACATAACATTTTAGAACTCAGCAGATGTACCTTTAATAAGTGTCTGATTAAAAGTTCAACAATTGATTATAGAATAAATGAAGGTTAACACAACAATAAGTGCAAAAAAATCTCAATTAGATAAATCTACCACATGCTAAAAATGTCATCAACTTGACCTAGCTCTACTGTTTGTGTTAAAAGCCCATCTTGAATTAACCTCAAAGAGTCTTGTTTGACTACCTAGCAAAACATTCTGTATACAACAGATACTCATTAAATGTTAACTGAATGAATGGTTTCTCTTCCCAAGCAATTGGTTGTGCTGAAAAGGAACATAAAAAGAAATTTTACCTATGCGTAACACAAAACAAAAGCTAAGTACTAGCAGCTACACTCACATAGAATAAGAAAAGAAAGAGAGGAGAGTCTCAAAAGTTTTAAGTGTATCTTGAAGCACAAGAAAAACATTGTAATATCTATCTAGCCATTGCCAAATCTTTATATTTTGTTCTTGAAATAAAAGGGCCTGGGATGGGATTGAAATAAAGGTACACCATGCCTTTCCCCCTAAGTTCTAGGCCCTAAGAAAAACAAAACGTTTTCAGCAGAGCTTGATTTCAGGCTTCAAAGTTCTGATTTAAATGGTATTTAAACTTAAACAAAAATGAAAGTGTCTCATATAATCAATTTTTGTCCTACTGACTGGATTTATCAAGCAAATGTGGGTAAGTGAGTTTTTTTGCCTAAATTATTTTAATAATCCTTTCATTTTACCCATTGTTATGGGCTGAATTGTGTCCCCCCAAAAATTCATGGGATGAAGTCTTAAACCCAGTATCTCAGAATATGACCTTAGTTTGCACATAAGGTCACTGCAAATAAAATTACTTAAGTTAGAATAAGGTCATACTGGGATAAGGTAGGCCTCTGATAAGACTGGTGTCCTGAGGAGGGGTGGAAATTTGAGCACAGAAACTGTTTTTAAAAAAAAAGAAAAGAAAAGAAAAAAAACTTTAGGCAAAATTAAATTTATTTAAGCAAGGAACGATTCATAAACTGGGCAGCATTCAGAACTAAAAGAGGTTCAGAGACCTCCACTGCTGCATTATGGACAGCAAGCTTTTACAGGCTGACATGAAAATAAGACAAAGAAAATACATTTAATTGGTTGGAGTAGAAAGACCCTAGTTAAGAGATCATTGGCAGTTTCTGATAGGTAAAGTCTCTAGTTAAAGGTTAGTTGGCAATTTCTTATCGGTAAAATCTCCAGTTAGAAGTTCATTGGTGGCATCCGTTTGGTAAAAGTCTATAGTTTTACTGTTTACATTGGGCTTCAGTTTGCTTACGCAGGAATTTAAAGCACTGGAGCCGCCCCAGCCTAATGACTTCCCCCACCCCAGTCTTTTTTAACAGTACACACACAGAGTGAATGCCATGTAAATATTGGAATTACACTGCCACAAGCCAAGGAACTATACCAGAAACTAGGAGAGAGGCCTGGAATAGGTCTTTCCCTAGTGCCTTTAAAAGGAATATGTCCCTGCTGACACTCTGATTTCAAGAATTGTAGCCTCCAGAACAGCAAAACCATGTTTCTGTTGTTTAAGCCACTCCATTTGTGGTACTTCTGTATAGCAGCTCTAAGAAACTAACATCCATATCTAAGGATTTTCTCAAATATGATCTTGGGGAGTAAATGATCAACATGAACTGCTTGAACAATGGCTCATATATTCTTATGAGTAATTTGTTTACCCAAATGCCTCAGAAAATTCCACTTTGAATTAAACAGAAGATCCAAGGAAGAGAAAATTTTTACCACCTGCTGAAAGTAGTTGCAGCTAGAGAAGGGAACAGATACAAGGAAGCTAAAACCAACAGGAAGAAAGGAATATGAACCCAAACAACTCATGCAAGAGGACAATTAATTGAGTGAATTTTATAAAATGAAAAAATGGTTCCATGATTTGTTTGACTAGTAATCTCAAATGTACAGCTTTTCAACAGAGCAGAAGTGGCATCTGAAATGTGACTCAGGCTCACTCTTCTCTTTGACAAATCAAGGAGGTTGGAGTTATCTAGTCGTGTGCTTCTATGATTTTCTATCTTAGGGCTTCTTATAAAAATATTTTTAAAGGCTTTTACAGGCCAGACGCAGTGGCTCATGCGGTAATCCCAGCACTTTGGGAGGCTAAGGTGGGCAGATCACTTGAGGCCAGGAGTTTGAGACCAGCCTGACCAACATGGTGAAACCCTGTCTCTACTAAAAATACAAAAATTAGCCTGGTGTGGTGGCAGACGCCTGAACCTGGGAGGCAGAGGGTGCAGTGCCCCAAGGTCTTGCCACTGCACTCCAGCCTGGATGGCAGAGCAATACTCTGTCTCCAAAAAAAAAAAAAAAAAGAAAATTATTGGGGGGGAGGGGAAGACTGCATTTTTACCACCAACTTTTTACCATCAACTTTTTACCACTTTTTTTTTTTTTTTTTTTTTTTTTTTTTGAGACAGAGTCTGTCTCTGTCTCCCAGGCTGGAGTGCAGTGGCATGATCTCGGCTCACTGCAAGCTCTGCCTCTCGGGTTCATGCCATTCTCCTGCCTCAGCTTCCCAAGTAGCTGGGACTACAGATGCCCACCACCATGCCCGGCTAATTTTTTTTATTTTTAGTAGAGACGGGGCTTCACCGTATTAGCCAGGATGGTCTCCATCTCCTGACCTCGTGATCCGCCTGCCTCGGCCTCCCAAAGTGCTGGGATTACAGGCGTGAGCCACCGTGCCAGGCTCTTTTTTACCACTTCCAACATCTAAATGGGAGAACTAAGTTCCTTTAGATTCTGATTATATGTACCAAGGTTATAGCCATTTATTTCTCTCTTCTTTTATCCAGCCAGTTTGGTACATTCTTCATTTAAATTAATAGGTTGTGATTTATAAAAATATTACATACAATCTTAGCCCTTCAGAAAATTGATCTTCATCTCTCTCAACCTCAGGTTGAAACAGATAGGTCACTTTCTGGGCCTCAATTTCCAGACCTTTAAAAATGACATGCTCTACTCTGTAGCCTTCCTTCTCCCCAGATCTCCCTTAGTGATATTGTTTGGGGCAACATCATTAGACTTACTAAGGTTAAAACTGATTCCATCTCTAAATTCCAAAACAAAAATGTTAAGAGATTGTCAGTGATGACATAGTAATAACATCAATATTCTATGAAATAATTTGGTGGGAAGAGGGCTGGTAATGTTGTGATTATTTATATCACCATGTTATTCACCAGAATGGAATCTAGCTTTTATCACTGTAGCTAAGTAAACCAGGTGTGAGCTGAGGAAACAGTAAATCTGAACAGCCTTTTTATTTTGTTACAGGATTTTAATTACAGGATTTAACTAATTTCATTTTTTTCATTATTTTTCTTGGTCTAATACAGTTTTTTATAAGGTCCACAGTTTATTAATAATCCCTTTCATAAATATAATGCAACTACCTCTAACACCTCCAAAAACATTCAGAAATGCTCTCCTTGCTCTAGTTAAAAAATGCCATGGGAGTTCCAAGAATAGGAAACATCAACCGGGGTATTTAGCACTAGATTGACAGAACTTGGCTCAGACCTGCATTACAAAAGCAAGTCTTCCAACTGTGGTTTTGCTTCAAGGCCGACTGCGGTTTTGTACTGTGCTGAAGTGCTTTTGGATAATTTTTTTGAAGGAAATTTACAAAATAATGCTGTAAGACCTGTGTTCTTTATAAGAACTTTTAGGTTACCTTCAGACAACAAAAGCCAATGAGAAAGTCAAGATCACCTTTTCAAATCTCATGCTCTGCTGAATCATAATGGGGAACGCAGAGGGAAAGCTGTTTGTCTCCAGGTACTGATTCAGGAGGTAGACCCCGAGGTACACATCTTGCTTGCCAGGCAGGAACACCCCTGGGCAAGAAATCTTAAAAAGAAAGAAAACAAACAAGAGAGAGAAAACAGGCTTTCCTTTGTTTTGTTACACGGGGCTCTATTTCTTTTAAGTTCCTACAAACACTGACATTTTCCCCATCACCTCATTCCCTCACCTGTACCTCCCAGCGCCAACGTCCTCCCCTCTGCTCTCCTCACATTGGAAATTCCAATTCCCTCACACGTCTCCACCAGGTGTCACAATCGCGCTCTCGCCGGCTCCTCTCCCCGCCCCTCCAGGATGGTAGTGCGGAAGCGGAAGAGGCTGCAGGGCCGGGAAGCCTCTGTTTAGTCCGGCCTGGTACCGGGGTCCGGGCCGCCATCCGCGATGCCAAGTCCCCGGAGGAGCGTCGAGGGACGGCCGCTGGGCGTCTCCGCTTCGAGCAGCAGCAGCAGCAGCCCCGGCAGCCCAGCCCATGGCGGCGGTGGCGGCGGCAGCAGGTTTGAGTTCCAGTCCCTGCTCAGCAGCCGCGCTACCGGCGTGGACCCCACCTGCGCCCGGCTCCGTGCCTCGGAGAGCCCAGTGCACCGCCGCGGCTCCTTCCCCCTGGCCGCGGCGGGCCCCTCCCAGGCGCCCCCGCCTCCGCTGCCCGAGGAGGACCGCATGGACTTGAATCCGTCCTTCCTGGGCATAGCCCTGCGCTCCCTGCTGGCCATCGACCTGTGGCTGTCCAAGAAGTTGGGGGTGTGCGCGGGAGAGAGCTCGTCGTGGGGCAGCGTGCGACCCCTTATGAAGCTGCTGGAGATCTCGGGACATGGCATCCCCTGGCTGCTGGGCACCCTCTACTGCCTGTGCAGGAGCGACAGCTGGGCCGGGCGCGAGGTGCTGATGAACCTGCTCTTCGCCCTGCTGTTGGACCTGCTGCTGGTGGCCTTGATCAAAGGGCTGGTCCGCAGGCGCCGCCCGGCCCACAACCAGATGGACATGTTTGTCACTCTCTCGGTGGACAAGTACTCCTTCCCGTCGGGCCATGCCACAAGGGCTGCCCTGATGTCGAGGTTCATCCTGAACCACCTGGTACTGGCCATTCCACTGAGGGTGCTGGTGGTTCTGTGGGCCTTCGTCTTGGGCCTCTCCAGGGTCATGCTGGGGCGGCACAATGTCACCGACGTGGTTTTTGGCTTTTTTCTGGGCTACATGCAGTACAGCATCGTGGACTATTGCTGGCTCTCACCCCATAATGCTCCGGTCCTCTTTTTACTGTGGAGTCAACGATGACACCATCTCATTGATGATGGCACCAGGAGGTCTGAAGGTTTCCACATTCGATGATGCCAACCTAAACCAGCAGCCATCCCGCTTGTCCCTCTTAGGCATTTCAGGCTTCCTTTGGGATTTCAGGTGTCCCACCATCTTGATGTGCTGCTAGGCTGGAGCACACGCTGGCCATTACTGAACACAGCCATATTAGGGAAAGCAAAAAACCCTCTATTGCATATTTATTCAACAATTGTTTATGTCTCCAGGACAACTGCAAAGAAACCAAGCTGAGGTGGTTATACTGTTGCTGTTAAAAGTTGGTATCAATAAGATTTGTGTTTTGTGGTAATCCCTAAATCAACATACCACTTGTAAACTGAACTTTGAGAAAGAAACATGATGTTCATTCTGTAAATATACATGCAGACAGGCCATGTACTAATCCTAGTCCTTTTCCTGAGGTAGATTTTAAACAGTATTTTTAAAGTTCAAGACATAGGTTTTTCTAGTTTATTCCCTGAAGATCTGTTGCCATAGTTGGGACGATTTCTTCTTAATCCTGATTTTCTTGGTAAGCTTTTTTACTTTATTTTCTCTTTATTATCTCTATCCATATTTGTGGATCAGGTAGTGGGAAAAGAGATTATGATACTTGTCTTTTCTCTCCTCTCCCTCCACCCCTCAAAAGATCTTTATGTGTTTCCCACTACTCCCTGTCTTTTAGCATTCAGAGAAAAAGCCAAGAACTTGCTTAAAGAGGAAACACTTAAAAGGTAGGCATATCTAAGATGCTCATAGAAAAGGAAGAATGGGACATAGCCCCATGCTTATTTCTGTTTACAACCTAACATGGCATGAGAGAGGGCAGAGGAACTAAGTTGCTGGGGAGAGTCAGAGGAACTGAAAGTTTGGGAATAGGCTGACCATATATTATGCCAGTGACCAGTATAACAGGAGGGGCCCTGCTGCCAGTCATCTCCACTGAATAAAGAATAATGCTCCTCTATCAGGGTAATAAAATGGGGAAAGAACGTCTTCTCAATGCAAGAACGTAAGCTTTCTTGTATATACCTGTATGCTACAGTTTTTCACATGGAATTCCGTTTTCTGAGGTACAGCACATTTTAGGTAACAGTATTTAACTTGAAATTCATCAGGGGAGTCTGCTGCTGTACCAGGCACAAGGTATAATTCCAAAATTTCTGTTTACATTGATCTTTACATTTAAAGCTGTTCATCCATGGTGCCTCCCCAAATCATAAGACCAAAGACCACCAAACGCAGGGTAGACTCTGCTCATTATTCTTTGACCCAGAAAGACTGGAGAAGGCATATGCTTTAAATACTGCTCTACCTGAAAATAAATCCTTTAAATTACCTATGGAAGTGATGTCCTTAGATAATCTTAATGACTGTTTTGGCATTTATAAATAGAAATTATTATGGACTTTGATCTACCATACTGAGATTCGGATAGGAACCTGGAGAATGGCTGTGATAAGTAGGTTTTGATTGAGTGAAAGCATGAGCTTGTTCAGAGTGAGGGGCACACTGAAAAAGAAACAGCCATGCCTCAAAATCAAATCATTTGCATTCCCACAACATCCTGAACACCGACTACCTCTTCACTTGCTAAAGCAGCTAAACTGTGAAGCTCTAAGTGGGTTGGGTTTGTTGTTTAACCTTAGTGAGATCCTTTGTTTTAACTGCAGCAATATTCAGGCCGGATATTTGGAAGCAAATGATATTTCCTCTTGCCGTGTCCACAAATCTGAATATGAGGGGCATGAAATTAGGCTTACCATCTAGTTCATAATTACAATTTTGGAATTCCCTGTTTTAGTTGCTGGGGCCTGAGTTCTGACTTTTAAAGCATAGATCAATTTCACCTGATGTTTTTGAAGCATCCTAAGTACTGTAGAGTAGAAAACTGATTTCTTTGTTAATTGTACACTGAGGAATGCCTTTTAAAAATCAAAATAAAATTAACCAATAATGGTGAATGAAGTGAGATGAAAACTTAATTTTTGCCTTGATGAGGAGGGAGACTGATTTATCACTTAGCTTCTCAAGAGTTCCTTCATCTTCCTGCACAATTTTTAGAGCTTAAAACTGGTATAGTATGACTGAATATGGTCTAGCCCTATTTGCTGACAGCAAAGTGGGACAAATCCAGGAAATTTTGATCACCTTTCACACCCACATGTATGATGAAACCACAGCATTTGCCAATTGTATGGAGGCCAACCAGATTCCATGACAATTTCCTGTTAGCATTATGCTTGTAATCATAGCCAGTAGAAAAGCCCCTAGAGGAAAGGTGGCATGACATTCTGTTACTAACTACATGGAAGGATTGGAAAATGGAAACTGAAATAAGAGGGAATGGTAGACGCCCAAGTAGAAACCATGGAGTCACTCTGCAACATCACCTCACTTAGGAAAGATTTGATAATTACAAAATATTTGTTGATTGATTGATTTCCCTTTTGGAATTAGCAAGCCAGAGCCATCACTAAGGGGAGAATAGCATAGGAAAATATCTGATTGCTTCATAGAGTTGGCAAATAATCAGGAAGTGATGGAGCTTTTTAAAATTATTCCCTGGTTAAAGAAGTTTAAAATCCGTTCACAAAATTTTATCCAGGAGAAGAAAATAAAATTCTACCTGGACTTAATGCAGGGTTGTTTGAAAATACTAAAAAAAAAAAATCACGATAAAGATAAGAAACATGTTAACTTTAGAACAGGGAAAAAAAAAAGGTGGGAACAGGTGGAGCTGAATTAAATGTTAAGAAGTCAGGGAAAACCAATACGGAGAATCTTAAGGACAAAGGTACGATCTGTCCCAGAAGATAATGATGTGTTTGTGGTAAGTGGAGGATGTGGGGGAGGGTTGTTGAAAACCACCTGAGACTATTTAAGAGTCCGACTTGAGGTTAAGGAGGGGGAGTTCATCAATCTCTTACCGCCCGGATCTGCAGCTCCACCACCACCTCCAGAGGCATCGTTCCCTGCGTGGGCGAAAGGACTGGAATGAAAAGATCCTTTTGTGCCGAGCCTTGGACCAATTTTTCTTAGTTTAGCTCAATCCCTAGAGCAAATGTTCCCAGAAGCTTCTCCAGTCCCCATCCCCCTATTCCCCCACCGTCCCCCCCAGCCCAGGTCCCTCCCACCGAGACGGGTCTCTCACACTCGAAGCTGGAGTGCAGGCTTCCAGAAGGCGGAAGCGTGGCGTTGCCAGGGACACTCAAACGCGCAGTCTTCCATCGTGGAACGCGCGCGAGGCCCCAGCGCAGACGCGCGTACTCGCGGTGCGCCGCTTGGGGGCGCGGTCGCTGTCCCTCACGCAGTGCCCCCAACTGGAGAGACTGGCCCTGTCTGGCGTGGTAGGCGGATAGAGAAACGCCGATAATCCCAGCTTTCTTTCCATCAGCTCCTGTTATCCCCAATTACCATGTTAAAATGTTTACCGTTTCCATTCTGAAAGTAGAATGAGATCATAGGTCTGTTATAATTTAAATAGTACACATGTTTAGTAGCTGCACGACCCCCAAGCCTAGGAATTTCTGTAACAATTCTCATTTAATATAGTTGTCTGTTCCTAAAAATACTCTTTTGCTTATTAGATGTTATGTTTGCTTCGGAAAACATGGCCACCGTCAGTAGCAAACGTGTGCTAATTAGAAACACAAGGTTAATGCTTAAACAGATTTAAAAGTTAGGTACCCCCTGTTAGCAACAATAGAAGTATGTCAGTCTCTCCATAACAGTGTCCAGCCTTTTCTGGGGTTTAGTTTAAGGCAAGCGTTGAGTAGCCCAATGGGTAGTTACTGTATTTGCCATAATCACAGTTACACTGTAAAAACCGTCAGAGGTGGTGGGCAGAGCAAGAGTTCTGAATGGGTAGGGGACATTCACTATATATAATAGACAAAAATGAAGGAAAGGAGCAGGTAGTGGCTCCTTCTAGCAATCCAAAAAATCTAGGAAGGCCAATGCTGTCTCCGAAAAAAAATTAAAAACCCTAAATTGTGTTCAGTCATTTATTACTAGTATTTTGCATTAGAGAGTTATACAATTGGATATAGTGCAGAAGGATGGTCAAGACAAAGATTAGGTATTAATTTTGGTAACTGAAGTTTATTTCCCTGGAAGGGAAAAACTTGGTATGATAAAGAAGGGCATATTGTGTCCTTATCCAGTTCCTAGTGCTGTGTCTCTCTGCATACCAAGAGATACAGGTGGGCATCTAGCTACCTATAGTGTCCAGATCATTGATTTGTCACTCACAACTTGCTGACACCCCGAGTGATGTGGGATGGGACCTGTGATGATCCTAACAGGTAGGTCACCAACACCAATGCTAAGAAATCAAGGAGAGTGACAAACAGAACAAATTAATAAATAGCCAGAGTTGTATTGGGAGAGAAGAATCAGTCTTTATTAAGGATCTGCAAAGTGCTAGGGACATTGCATATGCTAATTCATCTCATCCCTATAATAACTCTATCAGGGAGATATTATCCCTATTTTACGATGCAGAATGTGAAGCTAGATAGCCTTTTACTAAAAGCCACAGACCTAATAAGGGAGCAGCCACATTTGAATCCAGGTGTGCCCTACCACATCACTGGGTCTGCAACATAGACATCCTGTTGATCTCCAGAGACACAATGTTCCATCATATGCTCTTCTTAGTCTTAACTCTTGATCTAACTGGTCTCTCCTTGCTTGGCTGCTAGGGCACAGCTCTCTTCTGGTTTCCCTCCAACTTTCTGGCCATTCTTTATTTGTCTGTTTATCCTCCTCTGTCTGGCTAAGCAATGTTTCTAGGTCCTTTCCTTTCCTCACTCTGTACCCTTTACTTAAGAGTGTCATCCATTGCAGGTACTGATTAACACATGTACACAGATTTACATACCCCACCAAGACCTCTCTTCTGCTGCCCCTGACAAGGTGGGATCTCAATATCATATCTTATATCATACATATATGTGTCTCCTCTTTGTAGCAACTGCCATAATAGCAGTTCTACATTTGTTCCTGTGACTGTTGATTACTATTTGTCTCCATAATCTATAAACTCTGCATGGCTAAGTGTTTATACCCTAAATAGGATAGAAGATAATAAATATTTTTGAATATTAAATGCAGAGATGGTCAAGCCAATCTGTGGGGGTTAATGTACATGGGTAAAGAGAGGTCCCATCACATGGGGTAAAAGAAATCTGCAGAATTAGAAAGGACCAGGCACAGCTACTTCTGCTAATCTTCTATGGTGATATTAAATGAGTTGATGGGGATACTTCACACTCTCCTAATTGTCCCCACCATGGTTACCTGAGGCTCTCAGCTGCTGTGGAGATGTAGATACCCAATGCCTCTCACTCATCTTGCAAAGTAATTTATCATTAGGCTGTCCACCTCTGCAGGGGGCCAACAAAGCCTTTTAAGGATTGGACTGTCACCACTACAAGAGAAAGGCTTTGTTAACTGGGTAGGTACCTCTTGGTGGCAGCAAACAGATTTCAATGAACAACCTCTGTTTCCAGAGAGTGTCTGCAGTGCAGCTTGGCCAGTTAGTGACATCAGCATTGCAGAAGTGATACAGCAGCACATCCTGTTCACATCCTGGCCCCAGACAAGAAAATGAAACATGCCCCAAATGGGGATTTTCCAAAGAGTAAATTAACAAAGAACAAGAATATGGCAGATAATTATGGCTCAGATTTTTTTAACTAAAAAAATTAATTATAAGACACAAAAATCATAAATATTTCAAATAATAAGTATATTCATATGAAAGGAAAAAACTATTAAAGAGACAACACTAATGGGAAGGGTATGGGAAAACACACTGATGGGAGTGTAAATACATACAATGTATTCGTTTTCTATGGCTACATAACAAATTTAGGGGCTTAAAGCAATACGAATTTATTATTTAATTTTGTGAGAAGTCCAACACAGATCTCACTGGGTTAAAATAAAGGTGCCAGCAGGGCTACATTCCTTGCCTTTTCTGTTTCCTTGCTTTTCCAGAGGTTGCTCATATTCCCTTGGCTTAATGTTCTCTTCTTTCATGTTCAAAACTGGCTACATAGAGCCAAGTCCTTCTCATGCTGCCCTCTCTCTGGTCCTCCCTTTCTTTCTTTTTTGTGGTTTTTTTTTTTTTTTTTTTTTTTTGAGACAGAGTCTTGCTCTGTCACCCAGACTGGAGTGCAGTGGCACAATCTCAGATCACTGCAACCTCTGCCTCCCAGGTTTAAGCAATTCTTCTGCCTCAGCCTCCTGAGTAGCTGTGAGTACAGGCATGTCCCACCATGCCCAGCTAATTTTTGTCTTTTTAGTAGAGACAGGGTTTCATCATACTGGCCAGACTGATCTTGAAATCCTGATCTCAAGTAATCTGCCTGCCTCGGCCTCCCAAAGTGCTGGGATTACAGGTGTGAGCCACCGTGCCTGGCCTCCCTTTCACTTGTAAGGACCCTTGTGATTGCACTGAAAACACTCAGATAATCCAGGATAATTTCCCTAATTTAAGGTCAGCTGATTAGCAACCTTAATTCCATCTACAACCTTAATTTCCCCATTACCATGTAAGATAACATATGCACAGGTTCCAGGGATTAGGACATGGATATCTTTGGGGGCCATTATTCTGCCTACCACATATAACTTATCCGGAGAGCAATTTGATAATGTCTATCAAACTGTTTAATTTGACTCAGCAATTCCACTGCTAGGAATTTATCCCATGGGTATACTTTCACAAAAATATATGGTGCACAATTATTTCTATTTGAAAAAATACTGGAAACCAGCTAAGTGTTCATTAGGTAGGATCAGATTAAATCAGTTATGTTTTAGCCTTATGATGGAATATTATGCAGCATGGAAAAAGAATGAGGCAGACAGAGCTATACATTCTAACAGTAAATAGTCTATAAAATACAGAGTCAAGAAAATGGCATAAAAATGTATACACTGTGCTGCCATTTGGGAGAGAAGGAGAATATTATATCTACATATATGCTTAGAATATCCCTGAAAAGATATGCTAGAAGGTGCTAATAATGTGTTCCTCTGGGGAGGGACCTGGGATAGGGAGGCAGAGAGGAAGTTATTTTTTCTTTTTTTTTTTTTTTGAGGCGGAGTCTCGCTCTGTCGCCCAGGCTGGAGTGCAGTGGCGCGATCTCGGCTCACTGCAAGCTCCGCCTCCCGGGTTCCCGCCATTCTCCTGCCTCAGCCTCCCGAGTAGCTGGGACTACAGGCGCTGCCACCACGCCCGGCTAATTTTTTTGTATTTTTTTTAGTGGAGACGGGGTTTCATTGTGTTAGCCAGGATGGTCTCGATCTCCTGACCTCGTGATCCGCCCGTCTCGGCCTCCCAAAGTGCTGGGATTACAGGCTTGAGCCACCGCGCCCGGCCGGAAGTTATTTTTTCATTGAATATCTTTAGGTACTTAAAAAATATATTTTTGCCAAGTACTTGCATTATTTAGTCCAAAAAGGAAACCGCATTAAAACAAGTAGAAAATGTAAAATAATAGAAAGGATTGGTCTGGGAATATAGAAAGGAGCAGGAACTGACTTCTTCAGCTTTTGGAGCTCCTATATACTGCATGCCATAAAAATATCCATGCAAGTGTGTCTGCCACTTCTGCTTCCAGTGCAAGGCTTCTTATCCTGTGATTCCTAGCTATCTCAGGGGTCTTAAACCTCCTGAAATGATAGGCAACATTTCCTACATGTGCATATATGCATCCAGGAAGAGTCTAGCTTTCATAATCTGAAAGAGGAAAGGTTAGTCAAGTCAGATTTTATGGCACTGTTCAGTGCATGCTGAGTCCTCTTCCTGCCATTGGTTCCCCACCTGAGTTATCAGACAAGCCGACAGGTAAGAAAAGAGGGCCTGTTCTCTCCATCACATCCATACTCCCTTATTAGAGCAAAAGGGCAGCTGTATTTAATAATAAGTGATTAAAAAAACAAAAAGACCCTCAAAGTCCTATTCTAAGCAATTTGTTTATGTCTGGACTCAACAGACTCATTTGTCAGGCCCTACAATCTTTTGAGCAGTGAATTATTCATTAGCAAGTATGAATAACACCAGCAGACTGAGTTTCCAAAGTGAGTTAGTCATTTGCATTTGTAAGAAATGCCTGAAAAGGAAGAAACACAAAAACGAAAAAACACCCAAGAAC